CTAGCCTTCATTTCTAAAATATCTAAACGACTATGGGGCTTAAGACACTGTTCCTGGTCCTCGCCGGCCTTACTTTCATCGCGCGCATCGTGAGCGAGAAATGGAGGCACTATCAAAATGCCAAGCGCTTGGGCTGCCGGCCAGCGCCCATGGCTCCATCCAAGGACCCCCTCGCTATCGGCGATATTCTGGAGATCATCCAGGCGGACAAGAACAAGGTGGTGCCTGAGCTGCTCGAGAGCCGCACTAACATCATGCGCGACATTGCCGGACGCTACGTTTCGACCTTCCGTCTCAAGAGAGGTCTGGGCGAGAACATGCTCACCTTTGACCCGGAAAACCTCCAGGCCATGTTGGCCAAACAGTTCAAGGACTTTTCCGTTGGTGGTGAGAGACTGGGATGCATGGGCCCGTTGTTGGGCAAGGGAATCGTATGTTCTCGTTATGCCTCGTGCTGTCGCCTTACAACTAAATCTGGCCCAAACTGACGATCAACGTGCATGCAGTTCATCAACGACGGCGCCGAGTGGTCGCACTCGCGTACAATGCTCCGGCCCCAGTTCACCCGGGACCAAATCAGCGACCTGCGTCTCGAAGAGCGCCACGTCCAAAATGCCATGCGTGCCATACCCGCCGCTGGAAGCAACGGCTGGACCGAGGTTGACATGCAAAGCATCTACTTTCGCCTGACCCTCGACTCCGCGACCGAGCTGCTCTTCGGCGAGAGCTGCTACTCCCAGCTGGCCGCCATGGGTGACGCCGAGGACCACATGGCCAGTGGCGGCAAGGTGACTGACTTTGGCAAGTACTTTGACCGCGCCCAGTGGTACATGGCGCAGCGCCTACGTCTACCTCGCATGAAGTTCCTGTATGACGGCAAAGAGTTTCGAACCTGCTGCCAGGAGGTCCACCGTTTCGTTGACGAATGCGTCGCCAAGGCCCTGCACGACCACAAGAAGAAGCAGCAGCCCGAGGAGGGCGCATCCGAGCATTACATCTTTGTCCACGCCATGGCCGCAACCACCAAGGACCCGATCGAGCTGCGCTCCCAGCTGCTCAACGTCCTGCTCGCCGGCCGCGATACCACCGCCGCGCTGCTGAGCTGGACCACCCTGCTGCTCTCCCGCCACCCAGAAGTCTTCCGCAAGCTGCGAGAGGCCATCATCGCCGACTTCGGCACCTACGAGAACCCCCAAAATATCACCTTTGCCACCCTCAAGGCTTGCACGTACCTGCAGCAGGTTATGAGCGAGACGCTCCGCCTGTTCCCGCCCTTGCCCACCAACGCCCGCTACGCTACCAAGGACACCAGCCTGCCCCGCGGCGGTGGCCCCGACGGCCAGAGCCCCGTGTACATCAAGAAGGGTCAGGCCGTCCTGTACAACGTACACATGTTGCACCGCCGCGAGGACGTCTGGGGCAAGGACTCGGGCGAGTTCAAGCCCGAGCGCTGGGAGGCCCGCCGCTCCGGCTGGGAGTACCTCCCCTTCAACGGTGGGCCGCGTATCTGCATTGGCCAGCAGTTCGCCCTCACCGAGGCTGGCTACGTCCTTGTCCGTATGCTCCAGCGCTTCGATGGAATCGAGGATGTCAACGCCGACCAGAGAATTAGGTGGGGCTTGACCCTGGTCAGCGCTCCTGGTGACACGGTCACGGTGCGCCTCCACGAGGCTAGCCGGTAAGAAAGAGCAGGACTCTCCTTCGACACTCCTTCGACTTTCCTTCGACTTTCCTTCGAAGTATACAACATTTCATTTTCAGCTTGTAAAAATTGTCATACTTTCTATTGATGTTTTATTTCTCTCCTTGGATCTGCTGTCAATTTTGTAATAGTTATTCAGTACAGTGTATGGCGGGTACTCTGGAACGGATAGGTATCTGAGCGTTTTGACCATCACCCCCACCAGTGTTGTCTGTGCTATTAATGTACTCTAGGGTTTCTTTGCTTGTAAATAGTGAGAATAATGAAAATGTCAGGTGGTAACACAATCCCAGTGTCCGGGTCTAACACGGGCAATTAGCTTTGTCTTATAAAAGCACCAACCGCTAGACCCAAAACGATATATCGCATCTAGTCAAACGAGCGACGGAAAGACTACTGTCCCAACATGGAACTACACCAGTAGAGAGCATGAGGTGAGATTGAAACTCCAATTTTGTCTGATTTGGGGTATTTAGTCTATAGCACAAAATCATTCAACATTGCTATCGATGCATAAAAATCATCAAAATCCTTCGCATAAAACCCGCTACATTAAATAAAATGCCTGAAAAACACGTGAGCGCATAATAAACAACAAGATTAGTACGCTGGTGGTGGCATCGTCTCGGTCGTGACACTGTGACCATATTCCTGGTCCAGCTTCGACGAAGCGGCAGCAAGAGTAGCGTCCGACGGAAGATTGACAATCATCAGGTATAGAATGTTCTGCAAAAAGCCATGGTTAGTCAAGAAAAAAAAACCGCCAAGTCAGAGAGAAAAATAAACTTACGCTCTTGATGGATCGTTTACCACCTTCCAGCTCCCTTCTCTTCTTGCGGAACACCTCCAGACGAGGTTCGTAGTCCTTGTCTAACCTTCTCAACTCCCGATCTGTTTCGGATTGACTACGTCGATCGTTCAAGATGCGCTCTCTCCGGTCATTGTACTCGTCAAGGACTCTCCTCTCCTCTTCATCAATTCTCGCGGCCTTCTTCTGCGCACGCTGCTCTGGGGTAGGACTCAAGACGCCGCCAGACAGCACGCCAATCAGACCACCGTTGACGGCCGGATGATTGGGGTCAAGGTATCGATTGCTGAAGCCACGACCCGCCGGCCCGCTCAGCGCGTCGCTGCCGTTCTCGGCCATGTACTTTGCGCGAGCGCGGCGGTCGAGGTAGTCGTTGAAGTTGTCAAAGGCCTTCTTGGCCTTTTCCTTGGTCGAAACTTTGCCACCGGCGGGGGGAACGACATCCCTCTCGGGGGCTGATGACTCCGACGAAGGAGAATCAGACAGGTAGTTCTTGTGTTGGCGGCGGTTGTCCATGTAGACAAGCGGTGCGACGGCCGTAGGCAGACCGCCAGGGCCCTGCGTCGAACCGGAAATGTGGTTACGCATCCATGCACTGCCGCCGCCATTGCTTGAGCCGTTGACAGCCATTGAGGCGAGTTGTTTCAGACGGCTGGAATTCTTGGGCTCCTTGAGCTCGGGGTCATGTTTCATGATCATGCAGAACAGACCGTTAGGGGCGAAAAGCTCGCGGTTGTACTTGTCCATGACGTTGTTGGTCCTAAGTTAAGGGCTGATCAGCATTCATGGCTTGAGGGAGGAGTCGTGTTGTGCACTTACTTTCCTCTGACGTAGCCCTTGTTGGCTACCCAGGCGCCTGCTTGCACTGCCGCGGCGACGCCCATGACGATGACCTCGGGGGTGAAGCCCACGCCAAGTGAGACGACTTGCACACCGGCGAGGTACTTGTTGCCCTCTAGGGCTGTGTTGGTCTCGTCGATGAAGCGCAGGAACGACCTTTGGTCGATGCCGCACGATTCTAGAGACGGCGCATAGGCGGCCATGAAGCCTCGCTCCTGAGACCCTGGGCGCTGCTGTGGGATCACGACGGGAAGAGGCAGTGGCCCTCCCATGGTGGCCATCCCGGCTTGTGAGTCGTATCGGGGGTCTGGGGTGGGTTGCCCTCCAAACACGGGGTTGGGACCGGGCTGAAGCTGTCCGTACGGTGTTTGTCCATACTGTGGCTGGCCATACTGAGGCTGGCCATATTGCGTTTGGCCATATTGGGGCTGGGTATATTGTTGCTGTCCGTAATGAGGTTGACCATATTGGGGTTGGCCATATTGAGGTTGACCGTACTGTGATTGTCCGTAATGGGGTTGTCCTGTTGAGGGAGGTCCATACTGAGGCTGTCCGTACTGGGCTTGCTCGTATTGAGGAGGTGGGTGGCTAGGTGGGTCGTATCGTGTTTGTGGATGCATGCGATCCTGCCCATTCATGGGCAACTTCTCGGACTGCGCGTACATAATGTTGGAAATGATCCCCCTTGCTGGAAAATCGCGAGACACCCGTCAGTACTCGGTTGATCCTTGTGTCACGTTTGTGAATCTGTGCTTGGCTTGCAGTGGCCCCCAAATCCTAGTGGATACAGTTGTTGATGGCGATACGAGGTAGGAGAAGAAATAGGTTTAGTCTCGCGAGGGAGTTGCGACCGGGGGGAATTGTAGGAGTGCGAAGAAGAAATTGAGATAAAGAGAGAGAGTTGTTGATGATGGCCAAGAGATGGAGGATAAAAAGATGTCAGAAAGCTGAGAAAAAGCAATGATCTCTTCGGATCTGGTTCCTACATGGACAAGACGCCGGATCGTCCACTGGCAGTGCATCTGACAGTGCCTAACATCCTGCATACCCGTTTGGGATAGGGTTGCGGGATGATCTCCCGCTGTGTCCTATTTAGGTTAGCAAGGTGCAAGTGGCTTTCCGTTTGAAAATGTGGCTCCGGAGCTTGTTGTGTCTTTCTTTGTCCCTTAACTAGCGCCAGTGTGACAGCCCCGGGCATTGCCCCTTATTGAGGCAACTCTTGGCGCTGCGGCTTTGACTCTTGTCACCAACACAAGCATTTCACATTCCCGCATACTCGCAGCCGTGCCGCCCTACCCGTCCACTTTTGACCCCTGTCGACCGCGACGAACATGTGGCCCCCAAATGGCCGGCTTTCTATGCCCGACGCGGCAAACTGGTAATTCACAAAGCCGGTGATTTTTGGTATGCTACTCCATCTGCGGCTGAATATGACACTCTAAGTGGGCTGTGCTGTATCAGGCACCGACCGAACAAGGCGTGTCATCTATATTCATCGAAGTATATATGGGCGACGTGTTGGAAGCTTCAGAAACTCATCAATCAATCAATCAATCAACAAACCAACTCACACTCACCAACCCTCAATTCTACCTTCACTACTACACTTCCCTAATCCTATACCCCCAAAACCACTCACACATCATCACAATGGCCGCTCCCGCTTCCAAGACCATCCACGACCTTAACGGTTCCTGGACTGCTGTAAGAAACACCCACCAAACTCACCCACATCTATGCCACAATGTCCTGTCCATATACTAACCATATCCACAGAACAACACCCTCTCCGAGTCCTCAGCCGATATCCTCAAGGTCCAGGGCGTGAACTGGCTGACCCGCAAGGTCATTGCCATGGCCCACGTGACTCTGATCATCAGCCAGAGCACGGACGAGACCGGCAACATCCACCTCGACATCGAGAACAAGCCCAGCGGTGGCCTCCCCGCTACCCAGGAGAAGCGTGTCCTGAACTGGGAGCCTGTGGAGCTCACCCACGGCCTCTTCGGCAACATCCGCGGTCGCTCCCGCATCTGCAAGCTCGCCGATCTCGACGACGACTACCTCCGCCAGGGTTGGGAGGACGGCACTGAGGAGGTCATGCACTTCAAGACTGAGCACCTCGACTCCAAGGGCGTCATCACCCAGCAGGTCGCTGGCTTCATTGTCATCGGCGGCACTCGCTACCACGCTAGGCGGGTCCTCGTCACTAAGGATGATGGCGAGAGGCTTGAGGCTAAGCTTGTCTATGACTACCAGGGTTAAATTTAGATTTAAACGACCCGGAGTGTATATGTATTGATGGCTGTTTGACTGTGGGGGGTGGGCTACATCAAAGGGGGTATAGTATACCAGCCTTGAGGCGATGTATATAGATTCTGTTTTCTGGTTCTTTTTCATTTTTTTCATTTGTACTTGACGATACCGTTGTTACTTTGAAGCTAGGAAGAAATCTTTTGCCTAAATTAGCCCTTCGCCAAATTCACTTTAGAATGCTTCGTCTCTGCGCGCTCCTACCTGTCAAAAGTAGCATGTACACCCCAGTGATCACAAGTCGCTACACAAAGGACAACTCAGACTATGACACCAGTCAAGCGTTTGTACATGCCCTGCAAGATAAATGAATATATCATGGCACAAGTTGACACATTTTAGATCACCAGAAACGTCATACGAATTCTGTGCAATGCAAACATCGCGAACTGCAGTAGCCAATAAATCGTAACTTGACTTCGCCTGGAGAAATACGAGATAGATTTGCACCCACTCTTATCCAAACCCTTTCTTATTCAATCATGATAATTATCATTATCTGAATTCATTCAAGGATCTACTGTATAGATTGAAGTTTTATAGCTTACTGAATTACTTGAGCAATAAAGTGTTATTCTTGCGAAAAACGCAGAATTGAGATGATGAACTATGCTCAATGTGGCTAAGACGTTGTTGTAGTGAAACTCGGAGATACTTTCTTGGAAGAGATGTTCAAGTCTTTATCGTTAACGTAACCAAAGAATTGGACAAATATGAAAATATGAATTATGTGATTCGATATCTCTAGCTTCTTCAAGCATATTGTACAAATTGTACTTCAAAGCATCGTAGAACCTGAGAGAAAAGGAAGAACATACAAGATATTACACTCTAAGGAACTAAGGCAGCACTACAGAAGCGAGAGAAAATATTGTACCAAGTCTTTATTAACGAGAAAGTAAAAGCTAATATAAACACGACAATTTTAGACAGAGAGAAACAGAGAGAGTGATGAATGAGGACACAAAGCGAGGAAATAGGGAGAGTGATGAGTCAAGCTATACAAAGAGAGGAAAACACAGAGAGTGATGAGTAAAGGTATATACAAGAACAAACAAGTCAGATAGAATGGTCAACACTCTACCGCGACAGCGTAGCGAGGCCCTTGCCCTCGGCATCTTGCAGGACCATGTTCATGGTGCTGAATTGGTAGCGGAAGCCGGCAATCTTAGCCTTGCCGACCCAGACGTGGGCCGGGATCTTGGGCCGGCCGCTCTGGGCGTACTCGGGCAGCGAGTCTAGCCTCTCAACAACCTTTGCAATGTCCATGCGGACGGAGCTCAGATGCGAGTACTGCTTGACGTTGTCGCTGGAGATCTGGTTGTCGGTCGAGGTCAGGGCAGTGAAGGCATGACCGACAATGTCGCGAGACAGACGGTCAGCGGGGATCAGGTCGTAGTGACCGCCCCAGGTGGTCGAGTCGGGCAGCTCGGTCATGTTGGCGGCGACGTCGACGAACTCCTGGAGGATCTGGTCGAGCTCCTCACCTTGGGCCTCACGACCCTCGGGAACGGGCAATTGGCGGTGGATGTGGACGGGCAGGCGCAGCTGGTCAGCGTACTTCTCGAGGAAGCGTTCGCTGGCCCACTTGGAGGCGACGTAGCCCTGGGAGCCGTCCGAAGCAGGCTCGATGGTGGCGGCCTCGCTACCAGAAAGGAAGTGGAAGGGTACAATGCGGCGGTGGTCACGCAGGGAAGCGGCAGACATGAGAGCGAGCTCCTTGGTGGACTGGACGTTGATGGCCTGGACTTGGTCGTAGGTGCTGAAGAAGGAACGGTTGGCACCACTGTGAATGATCATGTCGGCCTGCTGGGCGAGAGCGGCGAAGTCGGTTTCGGACAGACCGAGGCGAGGAGCACTCAGATCACCCTCGTGTACGGAGATCTTGGAAGAGGAGGCGACAACGGCGTTGAACTTCTGGCGGTGGGGCAGCTCGTCAGACAGGGGACGGTGAGCAATGCAGTGGACGCGGCCGATCTTGGGATCCTGGATAAGGCGTTCCAAGATGTGACGACCAATGAATCCAGAGGCACCGGTGAGGATGACCGTCAGCGGCTGAGCGTTCTTGCGGGTGGTGGAGGAGGTATCAGCGGGAGAGATGTGGAGCATCTCATCGGTGAGGGCAGTCTCGACGTCCCAGTTGATGCGAGAGTTGGCCAAAAACTCATCGAGGAGGGCGCCCAGAGCCGATAGCTTGCTGGACTCGATGACCTTGTGGAGAGGAACGACGACGCCAAAAGCCTCGCGGATGCGAGACTGGAGACGGACAGTAAGCAAGGAGTTACCTCCAAGCTGGAAGAAGTCGTGGTTCAAGTTAATGGCCGCACCATCCATAACGGACTGGGGCAGGATCTCTTGCCACAGCTCCCAGATCGCCTTCTCAGTGTCGGTGACCTCAGTAGATATCTCAGCAGCATCGACCTGGGGGTGGATAGGAATTGTGGCAATGGCCAGTCTGTTGACCTTTCCGTGGGAGTTCAGGGGAATGCGGTCAAGCGGGATGAGCATGTTGGGCTTCATGTACTGGGGCAGGGGCACCTTGTTGAGTAGCTGAGCGAGGTAAGTCTTCTGCTGGTCGGTCGGGTAGCCGTCAGCAAACTCGACGAAGCCGACCAGGTAGGTCTCATGACCCTCGCCGCGCACGTTGGCAACAACGCGAGACAGGACGCCATTGGAGGCGCGGACAATGGTGGCTTCGATGTCCTCGAGCTCGATACGGAAACCGCGAAGCTTGATCTGGGTGTCACCAGTGATGCGGCCAAGGACAACGAGGGTGCCGTCGTCCATGAGATAACCCTTGTCACCGGTGCGGTAGGCGCGGTTCCAGCCCTTAGCAACGTGAACAGAGGAGGCATTCTTGTCCTCGATGAACTTCTCGTTGGTCAGGTCGGTGCGCTTGTAGTAGCCAACGGCGGTACCGGCACCGCCAATGAGGATCTCGCCCTGGACGCCGGTGGGGACAACATCAAGCTGCTTGTCCACGATGTAGAAAGAGTAGTTGGGAAGAGCAGGACCGGCCGGGATGAGAGTAGACTCGGAAGGATAGTCAATGGGCTGACGAGTGCACCAGACGCTGTTCTCGGCAGGACCGTAGCAGTTCTGGATCTTGAGGTTGGGCAGGTTGAGCGTGGCAAAGGAGTCACGCAGGGTAGCGTTCCAGCCCTCGCCACCAACGTTGGCGCGGCGCCAGCTCGTGGCCTTCGACAGGGTGGGAGCGGCATAGTTGATCCAGTTGGAATACTCGGACGGGGTAGCCATGGTGTAGGTGATCTGGTTGTTGGCGATGAGCTCAGCCATGGCTTGGGGATCGGAGCGCTGGGCCTGGGAAGCGACGTAGAGGTTGCCACCGTTCACGAGAGAGGTAAAGATTTGGTCAAGAGAGATGTCGAAACTGTAGGCACTCTGCTGAACGCAGTTGGGGCGGCCGAGGTTCCAGATCTGACCGTCACCCTCGAAGAGGTTGAGCAAGCTCTGGTGGCGGACCTCGATACCCTTGGGGATACCGGTGGAACCACTGCTAGAGACGATGATGGCAGACGAATCGCCCTTGGACAAGTTTGGACGGCGAGCGGGAGAGTCGTTGGCCTTGCGGACTTGGTCAACGTTGATAGTGCTGGCGCCAGCAGGGAGAGCGAGCCGGGCGACATCAAAGACAGTGGAGCTGTCGCACAGCACGGAGCTGGGCTCGACAACACTGCATGTGGCCGCCAGACGGGGCAGGCCATTGCGGGGGTCAAGAGGCACGTAGACGGCACCGCTGCGCCAGATGGCGAGCAAGGAGCAGATCCACATGGCCGAGGGCTGCTGGAACACACCGACCTTGTCACCGGGCTGAATGTTAGTCTGGACGAGCTCCTCGGAGATCTGGTCGATGATGCGGTCCATAGCTTTGTAGGTCATGGAGTCGCCGAGGCCGTCGCGCAGGGCAATATCGTTGGGGAACTGGGCAGAGACTTGGTCGACCTTGAGAGACAGGGTCTCGGGCCACTCGCTGTCAAACTGGGGGCCTACATAGAGAGATAGACAAAACAGTTAATCGGGGCTCGGTAGCAGTAGTAGTAGGAATAGGGGTTGTTTCATATGATACTTACCACGTCCAGCCTCAATGGCAGCCATGACATGCTCGTCCCGGTAGAGGGGAGCGGAGGCGATGGGGCCGGCGGGACCATTGGCACAGTGGTGCAGCAGATGCATGTAGCTGTCCATCATGGCCTGAGTGTGGCGGCCGTTGTACAGCGACTTCTGCGTCTGCCACTTGATGGTGATGTCGGAGGCGGCGTCGTCAGTGACATCCAGAACGACGTCGTAGGCGGTGGCACCGAAGTTGCTCTCACCCTCGGTCTGGGACTCGAGCATGGGGGGAGTCTTCAGAGAGAGCTGACGGTAGTCGAGGAAAGCCTGGAACATAGGGCTGTGAGAGGAGGAGCGAGGCACCTCGAGCTCCTGCAGCAGCAGGTCAAAGGGGAGGGCGGAGTGGTTGAGAGCAGAGTATGAGGTCTGCTTGGCGGTGTTGAGGAGGGCGGAGAAGGTCTCCTTGCCTGTGAGGCCGCCGAAGCGGAGAGGGATCAGGTTCAGCAGGAAACCTACGGTAGCCAGGGTCTTAATATCCTTGCGGTTGGCGTCAGCGATACCAATGCACAGGTCGTCAATCTCGAGCCAACGGGTGAGGAAGAGTCGGAAAGTGGCGAGGAAGAAGTGGAACGTGGTGCAGCGGTTTTGGCGGCAGAGGGTGCGGATCTTCTGCGCAATCGCCGAGTCGAGCACCATCTCAACCTCCTCGTGCTCGTACTTGGTCTGTGGGAGACGAGCACCAACGCCAGGGAAGGGGAAGAGAGGCAGAGGGTCGGGCAGCGTAGTGTAGATCTTCTTCCAGAAGACAATGTCGTCCTGCAGGCGACCACTCTCAATGTCCTTGCGCTGCTGGATGGCCAGGTCGGTGAACTGCGAGGCAATCTGGGGCACGGGCTTGCCCTGGTAGAACATGTCCATGTCGCGGATCATGAGATTGAAGGAGAAGCCATCAATGGCAATGTGGTGGACGGCGAAGATGAGGTGGTGCTCGCGGGGACCGACAGTGAGCAGCTGCATGCGGATGACCTCACCGTTCT